TCTAGAATTCGTACGCACCTTAAGTTGTAAAGATATGCTGTTAGCACGCATGATTCCATTTCTTCATACGACTTCAGTATTACTTCTTCAAATCTGGCAATTAGCAAAATTAAATCATCGACGATTTCTTCTCGTAAGACATTTGGCTCACATTCCGAAATTAAAGCAGTGCCGCAATTACGCTCCAGATTAACAAGTCGACAGTGTGTGTATTGCAATTTTATACCAGTGTCCCCTTTCAACTGAGCTTATCGAAAAAATTAGGAAATTAATACATCGCATAAATTGTTTCCTAATAATCTGTGACTAACTTACATCAAATGCCGCGTTCCAATCGAACGTATAATCTCGCTGTCGTTTTCTCTTCAAATCATTAATTATCATTGCAGAAATGCCTAATATATCTGAGCTGTTATCTATTGAATTTATATTAACTTTGGTAGCTAAAAAAAGTTCATTATTACAATTAGTTCTATATAAAATTGATACTAGATATTACGTTGTAATTAAAATAATTTCCTTATGAACATACTAGATGATTCTATTTGTTTCTGCTTCGAGATATCTCTGGCAGTGTCCAAAATATCCTCTAGAAACGTCACGCTTCCCTTTCTCGTACGCATACCGTGTAATCGACCAAATTTCACGTGTTTCAATCTTTCAACCCATGGCATTTTCATTCGTTTCAATATTTCCAACAAATTTGTAAAATGTTCCGCCTGTGCATTATCCACAACATAATACATAGAATCAAAATTATTTTTTTCAAATCTATCGATAGCTGCAGCAATATCTCTAGCTATATACAATGTAGAGCCATCACTTTTTATTACAGGAACACTCTTTTTGTCATCAAGATTCACGACTTTTCTGTTTTTTTCATCCTTTATTAATAATTGCATTCTTTCCATTAATGTAACAATTTCTTCCATGTTTTTGGCATTGTACATAGATTCCCAATGATATTCATCAAATGTAATACCAATTCTGCTGTAAGTTCTCTTCAATTCTTCAACAGTATACTGTCTGAACACTTTCCATTGTTCACATGTGACTCCCTTGCCAGTTTCCAAATCATTAAATATCTCTTTTGCACGATCCAGTATAGCGGAATTGGTTTCAGCCAATTTATTGGCAGTAACATATGCTGTATATAAAGTTTTTATGGGACTTTTTTTCATTTCGTCTTCAGTGATATTCGCTATGTCAACTCCTAATTGAACTAAACCGTATTGCGTGCCCCAGTCACCTAAATAATTTATCCTCTTGACATTATTTTCTATAAAACTGTTGATATTAGCAACATAATTTCCTATTATCGTGGATCTAAAATGTCCTACATGAAAAGGTTTTGCAATATTAGGTGAGCTGAACTCCACTATTACATTTTGTTTATTATTTACAAAAGTTGGAGCTGATATTGTGGAACAGTTATGTTCCAAAACTTCTTTAATACATTTTTCTCTGGAAAGACTGAAAGAGATTGCGTTGTCTTTTAGATTGACATCAAAAATATTATTTGAATCATTATTTATAATATTCTGTACTTCATTCTGTATATTATACTGTCTGGTTTTCAACGGGAGTAGAAAGCAGTAGACTCCGTTTGTCTTATGTGCTTTTATGTGCAAATAAGATGCAATACTTTGTATGTTTATACCATTGACATCTTGTAAAGAGTCTTTAATCTAGAACAAACAAAAAACTAATTAAATGTAATAAAAAAAAATAGATTCCAAACAGTATTAGCTTTGATTATGAGAAACATTTTATAATTCATGAAGAAAAAAATACCTTTTTCAAAATTGAAGTCCTCACACTGTTACTCATAATGTTGAATAATTAAATATTTTAAACCATAAATTGATCTATACTTCTTTTACAGAATAATATAGAATAATCTTTAGTTCATGAGATCAGTGTGATCCAGCCGGTAGTAGAGTAATTTTATATTAACATAATAATCAATAATAATAGCTAATAATATCAAAAATAAATGTACAGAAGAATGAGATTCTCACTCATTTCAATAATATTTAGTATTGTTACGTATTTTAATGAATAAAATATGAAAAATATTATGCTAGGTTAGGGAGAGATACACATAGATCTTCTGTCTTACACTCGTCTTCTCACTCCAACGACCACACGTGGTTGCGTAAAGGTAAAGTAGAGGGAGAATGGAGGAGCAAGAAGAAAAGAAAATTTTAATAAATTTCTAATTATTTTGATGTTATTAACAAGTTTATTTTCTAAAATACTACAATACAACCCTTTGCAGCAAATAAAAATTATTAGGCGAAGACAGCACTCCTAGCAGTAATTATTTTAAAATAAAAAAATCTGTTTTTTTATCACTTGGAATATCACTTATCCTTAGATATCTCAATTTTAAAAGATAAAAAAATTAGTTTATTGATATAATTATATAGATTACAGTATCGTGTGTACATATTGTTACTACATATGTCTGAACATAACTAATTAAAGCTACTGTTGATTCACAGATTGAATACATATAATCATATGTAACATATTTATAATTTTTCGTAACACAATAATAATGATTTATATATTATTGTATATTATATTTTATTATTATCATGCATATAATACATACATGATAATAATAATAATAATGGCAGTCTTTTTTATAGACAGGATATAAATACTTTATTTTCGCGCTGTAGAAATGTTATAACTACATCTGAAATTTATATCGTGTCAGTAATTCGTACAAAGGCATATTAAGATACTAATTCAAGGAATGTATTATTAATAAATTGTTGTAAAAAAATAATACAAAAATAAGGAAATACCGTGCAGACATAATACACTCCCTTCATGTATTAATCTTAAACTTCGTGATCAATTAAGTATGCGTCCTTTCTAAAGGTATAACGCGGCGGATTGTGACAAGGCAATAACCAAAGTATCGGATGACTTTTCCCACACACTTGAGATAGAAGCGTAAACGTTCGTGGTGTATTCTTATTGTGATAGCGCTGTTGTATACCTTGCACACGTTCCACAGCAGTTTCGTCGCCTAGAATCGCTTGAAACTGATCCACTAGAATTGCTATGACAAACATACCAAACAAGGCCGATTCCAAAACTAATATCACACAATGTAAGCTGCAACATAATTAGTAATGTAAGTATTAAAAGTTTTTATAAACACATCTTTAAAAAAATATAAGCACATACATGCGATTTTGCTTCATTGTGATATCATTATTGCACTGAGGACAATCGTAGATCCATGATACAATGACTAATACAATAGCATATATAGCTAATGCACCAACGTATACCAAAAACTGTATGAAGTACTTTTGATTCCTCTCGCCAACACAATTATTAATCCTTAAAAATTAATTAATTATGAGTATTTAATAATTTAGCAATCACCTGAGATGACTGAGACTGATATTTATAAAAGGATTATCAATTTTATATATTTTTATATATTACCATGGACAATGATGATCCATTCTCCTGATACAACGTTTACAAATTCTGCAATGATGTGCTCTAGGTGGCCTATATGTTTCACATCTAGTGCACACTGTCCAATCATCTTTCTCATCACTCTCATGATCATCATTTCCTCCGGAAGCATGGATGTCAGAAAAGTCCATTCTACTTTGCGGTAAGGGTACTATACCAGGATCACTACAAACGGCTTTCAAATGTGCCATCATCAGAAGAAGCACAACAGTGTTGAATGCTATTATATGGAAAGGGCCCCACAAACTAAAAATAAAATAATGTATGATTTATTGATAAGACAATTTTTTTCAGAGAACTGTGACTGAATACTACAAATTTATAATTGCAACGATAATCTACATATATTTATACACTAATTCTTGCTGTCACTCTGTGCTATACAAACCTGTCCTGCATAGTGTGTAACACGATCCATCGTACTACAACGTAGTCAGCGTAAAACACTGCTATATAGGTGACGATAATGCACACGATGCCACAGGGATCTCTGACGAACATTTTTCGTTTTTGCTGACGGCAAATATCCTACGTGGCGATTAATAATATCGCAGTTCTTCATCACTGTACACACAAGTCTCATGTCATCTGATTTTGAAATGGCTGCATTATTAATCGCTCCACATTAATTCAGATAGCACGCATCTATCAATGTTGATTAATGCATTTAACGCATAATCTGTCGCAAAATCGTCGCAACAATTTGATCGGACGATTATGGCAGAAAATACTGTACAGATTAATTCTGCTACTCAAGTTGGAGAAATGGACAGATTAGGAAGTAAAAGCTAATGTGTCAATAACACTGCTAACAGCAGCAGGTATGAGAGACACTTGGGTGACAGTTTAACCAACTCACCAATTTGCAGGCAACCTATGCGAAATTCAAATAAGGGTCTATTCACTCAAATTTGCGCATGAGATTTTTTTATTTAACATTATGCAATTAATATAAATTTTACAAAATTTAATGTAACATACTCCTTTTTGCATTCACTTAAACAATAGAAAACTTTCATCAATTTTACGAATATATAAAAATATGTGAATCGAGTTTGGTGATAAAACGAGTGGTCATCGTGTCAATCTACGTAAGTTATGTAATTAACAGACAATCTGGTAATTTGTGATCGTAACATTGGTATTGTTATGACGCAGCCTATCGTGTTCTCCAGATTGTGGTAACTTTTGACCGTCAAGGGCCATCCGTCTCATTTCACTTTGCGTTACCGGTAAGGAAAGTCGTGTGTTCCGTGAAATGGAGCGATAATTCGTTTCACATTAATTTAATTAGACCTCGCGTTCCAAAGTACGCTGATCGTTCCGCGTAACCGACTGTTCTACTGTTTCAGGCAAATCACCGTTAAACTGGCTACGTAATACGCGTTTATTACTTGGCCGGATTTCTTTACTACGGTAGAGTAAGTAATAATTTTAAACTGTCCTGCTGTTCTGGTGTCCGTGTCCGAAGATACACGTTTTCCTACTCCGATTTTCCGCAACGTTGCTTTTGCGCCGTACTCTATTCGCACTGCTATTTCTCGCCGTGCCTCTGCTTTGCATTTCGTCGCACGATCGTCCTTTTTCCATACCACGATGTGCAGATGTTGCCTCGATGCGAGAGGTTAGCGATCTCGTGACGTGTCATGTTAACGCTCCATTCCATATGGTGGTCACTGTCGAAGCCACTGGTCATTGACATACCTGCACTTAACATGCATTTCTTCGTCAATTCTTTTTAACAATCGTTCGATCCTTGAAATTTGCCAATTTCGAGAAAAAAGTCTCCGAGCCACAAGCGTTTCACGGCAGGGCGAATCGCGAAGAGTCGAGCAAAATCGTGATCGCTCCGAAAGAATTCATATTGCGATGAAAGAATGAAATGCAAAAAAATATTCTATTACGAAATCCCATTACGATTCGATCGGGTTCTGCGAAAATGTACGGATACATCTCACACGATTATTCGGATTATTCGGGAGAAAAGTTATCTTTGATGTAACTGTCGGCGTTTTGCCAGTGAGATAATTTATCTTCTTCTCATGCGTGGTAAAATTAAGACTTTTAACAAAATCTCACGCGAGATATGCTAATGATGAATTGCAATAAGGTCAAGTCGTTTCCTTACGCATAGTATTAGTCGTTTTTCATTTTCTCTCGTGGTACGGACTTTTGTTTTCTCCAATAGTCTATCATATCTAATACAGACATGCAC